GGGCTCCCGCTGCCGGCACCGGCCCCGGGGCAGTCTCGAACCTGCGGCCCCGCGGGGTGCCCGGGCGGGGAGGGGGCCCGGCCCAGGCGCGTTGGGATGGGGTGCGGGAGCGCTTTCTCCATCTGTCACCCACAAACCTGTAGGGTTGTCTGGGTTTTTTTCCTCTTTTTCTATTTTTTTTCTCCTCCTCCGGTAAATATTTACAGCCCCGTCCGAGTGGGGGCACAGAGGGGACTAAAGAGGATCTCTCCTCTCCCGTCAACACCTGGAAAGCGCAACGTTATGTGCACTGTGGGTGAGACGGCCCCTGCTCCGCTGGCAGAAACAGTTCTGTCTCTGCTTTTTAAGGATGAGAACTGAATATGATATCCCCATCCGAAGAATTTAATGAAAAAATAAATAAGAATCAGTATTGTTACAGCTTGATTTAACTCGGATAGGACTGCTGCCTTGGTGTAAGATATGAGAGAGATAATCAGACTCCTTTATAGAAATAGATAACTAAAATGATGGTTATCTCAGTCCAAAACAAGAGGATTCATGACTCACTTCAGGAATCTGAATGAGCAGGCGGAGGAGCTTTATGAAGATATTGTTCAGGGGCCGATAGCAGCTTGGATGCAGGGAGGGCAAAACTTCAGGTCAGCGCAGGATGGAGGAGCTCCGGCACAGCCTGGCCAAGGCCGTACACAGCCCTTGGGAAAGGTACCGGAGCTGCGGGGCTGTCCAGGACGCAGGTGCAGGGCAGGCATCTCTCCTCTGCTACTCCTGCAGCCATTAAAATTAAGCCTTTAGCAGACCAATGTTTAGCTAACTCACCCATTCTCCTCCGACATGAACACCTTGCAGGTCCCTGAAGAGCAGTTAGCTGCTTAAATCAAGAAGGATAGCAGTATTATTGAGCTATACCTTAGAGAGGAAAGAAGCAAAAAGGTTCCTCACACACCATAGAGACAACTCCAGAAGGAGGAGGTCACCAGGGCTGACAAAAGTTTAAAGCAAAAAATCATAAAATCATACTTTCTCTTTTGCTTCAGCATTTCTTCCTCAGAGGAAAGAGATCTCCCCCCAAAGGCCTGTGGCACAGTCACACACGGTGGCATAGATCTGCTACCAATGCAGAAAACAAATACAAGCAGCTTTGGTACAACTGGAAACTGCGGGGAACCATGCACAGCAACCACAGGCTTAGCCTTCATCCAGCTGTAGGCTTTCCTCCCTTGATTTGGACAGGAAACTGGAAACTATAAAGAATTTTTATTCATTCTGCTACTGTGCCCATTTCCAGAAGAGGGAGCCAAGTCATGGCAAAACGCAGCCAAAAATCAAACCCATTGTTCAATACGTTTTGGGTTTTTTTAAATAGTTTCTTAAATATGTTTGGGGTTAATTTGAGGCAGGAGGGGAGATGAGTGCTGATGTAACTAAAGGAGTGAAATGCATGTAATAAGCTCAGAAAGAACTGAAGAGGTCTGGGGCATGCTACAGTAAGCACAGACACAGAAAACTCATTAACTCATACCCGTGTATGCGTTAATACAAGTCTCCCTGCTGTGGGAAGCAAGCAGCTCCAACACAGACGCTGCAACATCGGCTACTAACCTAAAATTATGATTCAATTTAGAAATGAAGCGCATCGCACAAAGTTTTATTTGTTGCACTCCTCCGGGTCCTCTCCTCGTACTGCTCAGCATCACCTCCCCAATGAATAACTTCTTTGACTAATGTACTTCTCACGTAAGAAGGTAGTTTCACTGTCAAAAAATAGCTGCAGTTAAAGTGTTTGAGCGCAACATCCACTACACGCACATAAATAAGTTTAAAAAGTAAAAACACAGGCATCACTCCTTTTACTGCTGCATAATTTTCTGGAAGGAAACCTCCCACCGAGCTGATTACATGGCAAATGGGATCAGTTCAGAAGACAGGTGCTGACTAAAGAAAATAATCGTATATGAGAACACAATCTCCTCTAGTTTTTCCTGTGTTCAGTTTAATCTGTCAAAAGATTAAACCAAGTATTATTAGGTTAACATCTGAGCTGACATTTACTGTCACTGAAGTTTATCCAGACAACGGTTGCATTATTTGAAGATTTTATGGAGTTAAGCACAGATCAAGACCAAATCCTGAAGGGGTGTGAAAGGAGAAACAGGCGCACACATTCCCTAACGGGCAACTGCTGTCTCCCGCGAGGACAGTCCAGCTGCAGCCTGGACGCTCCCTGCTAACCGGGAGCAGTGTCGATGCGATTTGTCTGCAGTCTGAAGAAAACGCAGGTGATTTCTAGTGCTGAATATTGCAACTTTGCAAAGTTGCTGCAGACAGCAATAAGCAAATGCTGAGAGAAGTTGGCAGATTGAGACTGCCCTTAAGTGAACAGCAACTCCCAAGCAGAAGCGGACGCGAGGGGTGTAAGGCAGCAGCACATGGCGGGAATCCCCATTTCACACCAGGAGCACGACAGAGAACGCGCAGGGCTCTGACATACCTGATCGTATTGGCGTGCAGCCCACCGGCACTTTGGCCAACCTTCTCCTTATTTTAATTATATGAGGGCAGGAGGGGAGAGGAAAAGAATAAAAATAGTTTCTAGCACCGAGACGTGTCCATTGAGAAATGCAAATCCTTTCGAGGGTGGTATTCATAAGCTCTGTGTTTCGTCTCTGCGCAGCTGAGCGCATCAAGCGGAGCAGCTGCGGAGCAGGGCTGGGGACACCGCGGCTCACGCCACAGCTGTAAACCCATCTCGTCCCTTTTCATCAAGACCATTATAGCAGGAACAAATACCGACTGGTGACATTGCTTCTGGATGGAAGAGAGATCTACGCCGCAGGTCGGAACCCATTTCAACTTGCTGTAGCCTAAAGGCAGATTTAGGGCAACCTATGACTCCATAACCTCAAAGAATATAAAAGGATAAGGATCTCAAGGATGCTTGACAGCAGGAGGCTCTGTTACCCATGAAGATAAGACACACAGGGATCACGCTCCAACTCAATTTAATAAGCTTTGTAACGAACTTGGACAGAAAGTGGTTTGAAATAAGTCGAGCGACACTCATCTACTAGTCAAGGGTTTTTTTTAAGTAATGCTTTTAAGCTTATACTCAAGCATACAAAGCATAAATTTTACAAATTAAAAACAGTAAAATCATCCTAGAATAATGTAATGGCTTCCCCTATATGTACAAGGAGTGGAAAGGAGACAGAATTCTTTCCAGATAATTTCACACATCTTAAATGCTACATAAGTGCTCTCCACATTCATTTCAATTTTGCTTTTCATGTGGGTGGAAGGAGCTGAAAGCATTTCAATGAAATCACCTTAAAGAGAGAGAGGTACTTCACCTGGTTTCAAGCTGTATGTGTTTGCCTCTTCAAAAGTCTTGAGAGGAAATGCTTTACTTAAAATTCTGCTGTTAGCTCCTGCGCAGCAGCCTCTATTTTTCCAGCTATATAAAATTAAACAGTTCAGTGAGTATTTCTCAGAAAATACCACCAGTACTTCATCTTCATGGAAACCCGTTATCCCCCACCCTTCAAAAAAGACTCCATTGTACAACAGAAGCAACCACGGTTTAGCTTAGATTCGACAGGCAGAAAAGAAACACGGTAACGGCGAAGACGACAGTTCTTGGGGAGGTGACAGGTTTTGGAAAAGGGGAGAGATCTGTAGCCCTATCAAAACACGCTTGACACACAGCTTTGCTGCAGAGGAATATAAGACAGGTTATTTTACAACCCAACTGCTTCATGTCCATAGCATTCATGAAAAAAATCTTATTTGCTTCCAACAAAGGAAAGGCTGGGGGAGGGAGGAGTGTAGTGTACAACCTCAATCACCAGATTGGTTTGCCACCGTTGAGTTTGGAACAAATCTTCTTACAAAAGTTATTTTCATATTCTTCTAAATTAAGTGGAACAAAATATGTATTTTTACACTAAAGCAAAACTGATCAAAGTGGCATTTAATAATATTTGTTAAAGTGGTTATCTAACAAAAATGGGTTAACAAAATCCCATTCATTAGTAGTCACCAAATAAGACATTTCTCATGCATATGACAAAAGTTCATTCGTGTACTGAGAGGTCTGTTTACTGTGTACAATATTTCCATAAATTATAGTATGTTTCACAGCCCCTACCATTCAAGAATATTTCAAACAGATTATATATTATATTTGTATATGCAAACTATTTTATATACACTAATATAAAGATCCTTAGAAGTACCATTATCACTACCTTTATGCTTTCTCTAAAATGCATAGCTTTCGAATATTTTCTTGCAGTTACCAAAAACTTTACAGATTAAAGCTGCTTATCAATGTGGCATGTTCATAAAAACAAAGTGAAATAGTTCTATACTAATTTTATATTAAACCCCTTAAAAAACATTTATTTTTTTAATGGAAAAAAAAAAAAAACAAGCTAGTGAAAATTCAAGTAATCTATGCTCAATCTTTGCCCAAATACTATATGAAATTAATGTAGCATTCTAGAAGTACAGTGAACTTCTCAACCAGGACTGTAATACTGCATTTCTCATGGAGAAAAATGCTAGTCATGCCACAAAAACGCACCACTTTCCACTTCAACCGGGAGAAGCTTTAGATGAGATTTAACAACACAAGCGTTAGAACAAAGGAAAAGCTGATCAGTTATATATGAAGAAATTAGAGCTATTCCAGTTTTGTTTCTGCAGTTTGTTATTAAACAAAGTTACATTAACCATACAGTTTCTCACAAACTAAAAGTTATACATGGTTTTTAAACATCAACCGACTGGAAAAAGCCAAAAAAAAATTAAAAAAAAAATAAAACCAAACCCACAACTGTTAAAAGTTTGGTGTTAGAATAACCAGCCTGGGTGAAGGAAAGCCAGACCGCTGCTGTAGTTGGGGGGATTACTGATAGCTTGTTTGTTATGTATAAACTTTAAGACCTCCACACCACAATTGCCTCAAAGTGGAGAACAGAACGATCAATAATAAACGGGAACAAATAATTTTGTTATATCCATCATCTAGCTTAACCTTGGCGTTCCACATCTCTTAATAGCTGCTTAACAAACAATGGTTTCCCCCCACAAAAAATAGCTACACAAGTAAACAGTGTTCACAGTAATGCAATCAGTAACAGGTTTTGTTAGTTTCCATAAATCAGGTGTATCTGCAAAGCTTTATACAGTTTAATGCGTAAGTATTCCAGTAAAATTAAGTGAAAACTAAGTTTCATTCTACAGGGTAATATCTACCATACAAGACTAGATTATGTACAGTATGGGACTGGTGTGACAACTGCCAGTGTCTCATGATGTTAAGCTATTTCACCCATCAGCTCCGCCTTCGTTGAGCAAATCTGTAATAACTTGATATACGGACCAAAAAAATCTGGAGATTGATTTGGCAAGATTAGTGCTTACTACCCCTGGATATATACCGGTGTACAGTGCTGCAAAGTTAAGTCGACCAGAACATCCCATACCCAGAAGATTACCATTTGTTGACTTGAAAGTCTGGACTTCACGTGTAAAACATTAAAACTACAATCCTAAGTGGAGTGAGGACAGTCAGTAAACAAATACAGGTGAAAATGAACTGCATCTCTTCAGAAAGGTATGGAAGAATTGAGAAAATGGAAATTTCTGGTTTTAGACAGCCCTGCTCTGCTCAGCTCAAGGCATAAAAACAGCCCTAGCAGCTCTACAACTACAGTTCTTATTCAGCAAGCATAAAGGCAGATCCTGCACAAGAAGATGTATCAGAGGCTCCAATGAGCATCTCTCCCCCACACTCGATTTCCTAACACAAGCATGTCTTTCAGCTTACAAACATCCAGTGGCCTTCAAAGCTTTAGTGGAATCACTGCAGTGTCTACAGCTGCAAATTTAATACAGGGGGGAAAGGCCCCTGTTAGCAAAAACCTTCCAATGCCTCTGGGGGCCATTTTGGTCATTTGTGAAAATTAAGAAAACACAACTTTATTTCCAACAATACTCCTCCTGAAAAGATGGGTCACTGATCCATTATGAACATAGCTCTCACCATATAAAGCACCAAAAAGTCAGAAACAAGGGAAAGAAAAAAAAAAGTCCTTAAATTATGATTTACAAGTTTGTACACTATTTCCTAAGCAAAAGGTTGACCTTACTGCAAAGTTTATAGATGAAAACTTGACCAGTTACTTTTAAGGGGAATGTATATCTGGCTATAACTTAAAGATAGAAAATAGTCACTGTTCTATATACACATTTCAAACAGGAGACAGTTAAACTTAACTGAATAGTTGCCGATATAACTCCATATTAACTCACTGGCCACTAAACTAGGCATCAGTAGCCAATTAGAAAGCTTGACTTGTGTACTTTTAAAAATGCTATTTTTCCTGTCCTGTTTAATTGTTTTTTTTAAAAATGTATTATAGTGCATAGCCTAAGTCAGACTTTCAAAGAGATACAGCGCCTTTCAATGCAGTTTTTGCAGCATTTAAAAGGGACTTTTCTCCCTTCAAATTAGATGTTCATTGAAAAATCTGAATTGAGTGCTGTACTGTAGTAAAAATATTTCAGTCACAGACTGATATAAATGTATACTGTGCAGTACTAAGATTGTTTGTTGTCCATCTGCACACATTTTACTTGGGTTCTTCAATCGTCCCCTTGCTGAGGTCTGTCATTTTGGGATATTTCACTTTCTTCTGGTCCAGCTCATTCTGAGCCCACAGTAGTAGTTTCAGTAATTTTGCCAACTTGGGTGTTGATTCACGATTTTCATAGTCTAGAACAGCTTGATTAACCTCACTCCATACCTGGAAAAGAAATACTGGAGTTCAGTAATAGTTTTCCTATGATTAACACCAGTAACGTCATACAGACATTGAAAAGATCACACCTAGTGCGCTAATTCCTCAGAACATGGTCAGGACAAAGGTCCACAAACTATGAGCCTGGAGAAAACAAGGGAAAGTGCCAAATAGTTGAATACAGTGACACCTTTTTGTTTTAATCTTTCTTAAGAAATACTTCTGTTCTTCTGCATATCACTACATACGTTTTTTCTAAACATTTAAAAAATATTTGGACATCATTTTCACCACATGCGAATAAAAAACATGAGTTTACTTTTGAGAAAGGACTACCTTCTGTCGCTGCATCATGTTAAGCAAGTCTCCAAATGGTGATTCTTCAGGATTATCAAAGGCGAGCAAAGCCAGTGTACGCTCCATTTCTGTCAGGCATTCTCTGCTCTCCTCGCCTTGTTCTGCTAATTGGGTCTGAGCAAATTCCAGAGCTGCTTCGGTCTCACGCTGCCGAATCAGTTCGATCAAATGCTGCTGCTACATAAGACAGACACAGCAATATTAGCTCAACAAATTAACAAATCTTCAGTATTTCAAGACTGTAATCTTCAGACATTAGTATGTAATTTGAGACAAACACTAATCCACAATTTGACAATTTGAGGTCAATTATTCATCAGCCACGAGACAAGGACTTGTCAACAAAATCTGCAGAAAAAGGCAGCCTGACACTTCTAAGTAACAGGTTTTGAAAAGATGTGTTTCTAAAGGAACTAGTAGAAATTCCGACTAACAGTAATTGGAAGTTGGTAAGTCACAGGCCACTCCTGCTAAGTTTTCATGTCACTAATTGTATATGATGGTTCCTGCACCATGCCACAAAGTTTCCCGTCACTACAAAACAATGCCAAGAATAAACATCCATGTTCAGTCGCAAACCTCCCAACATACTAGTAAAACCTGCACTACTTTTTCCAGTCTCTCCACAACCTCTAAAACAAAAACAAAGTTTGCCAGCTGTCCTTACCTGCAAATGAAAGTAAAGATATCTGTTTGTATCTAACAGTTCTGGATGGAGGCTGTTTATTAATGCAATGGCTTCTTGAATCTGTCCTTTCAATATCATTTCTCGAATCTTTATTCTTTCATCGAGAGTCTCTAAATCAACACTGGGTTCAATTCCAGACTCCATTCGAAACTTCTCTGCTGCTTCTTTAAAGCCCTCTGAAATAGAAACATTTTACCTATAAAATACATTTTATTAAACCTTAAAAAAAAAAATCAGCTTAAATTAAAAGATTTGAGTATTGCTTGTGCATTTTGGGAGTTTAAAGTTTAAGTCTGAAACTCTGAAAAACTCTTATCTATTTAAATATGCATTTATCCAACAACCATCTAACAGTATGTGCTTAATTCATTCTTAACTCAAACGCCCTCATTCTCTAAGGATGCATACAACTTGTAGTCCGATAACTCTTAACTCGAAAGCTTGTTTTATACTTAAATAGAGCAGTGTACTTCTTCCAAAATGGTATTTTCAAAATCACATTTTCATAATTTGAGTGGCTTTCCTTCTCCCTCCAGCCCTCAAATCTCTTCACACACACCTAGCAGCTTTACTAAGAAACAGAAAATGAATTTTGTTTTCTCATACTAACACTACATTTTTTTTAACGTTTTAACAGCTATTTTAAATCCTAAGTCATGCTTGCATACACATAAAAATGATTTACGCCACTAAGATGCTCTTCCTTCACCCCAGAGGCTTCACCTACACACCAATGTAAACAGGGGTGTAGATCGGATACAGATGCCTCCGCCCTAGTATAGCTTACTGTGATGGTATGCATCATAATTGCTGGGGACAACTTCCGAGGGTTTTTGATTGTTCTAACTATGAAGTTAGGCTATATGCTGAAGGGGTTAATATTTTTGGCGTCAAACTATTTTGACAACAGTGCCCTTTTACAGTTTATCTTTCTAGTTAAAACTCGCTTCTGATAGCTGTCCTATGCAGCTTTCAGAGTGCTACTTAGCAACTGCAACATATCTTGAACTCTGCTATAATGGCACTAAAAAGGATATCATACAGAAGCAGGTCATGTTTGCTAACAGTATTCCAGAAAATACTTTATTTTCTACATCTTTTTGAAGAAGAGTTAAGGTTAATAATGTCATTTCTACTGCATGATAACTGCTCTGTCCCTGAATCTCAGTCAGTTTCCACTTAAAAGAACACAAGAGCAGTTGTACCTTGCTAAGAGAACCCCGCAACAATCACCAAGTCCTCAAAGCCCTTAATTTCATGCCGTCTAGTAGTATATTCTAGCCAAAATCATCTGTCTTGATAAAGTAAGCGACATGCACTTAAGAGCCTCCTAGCATTACTACTCATTTTTACCTGTAACAAGGTAGTTCATGATAAGGCGGTTCATGTCTGCTCTCTGGATATGCAAGTTATTAAGTTTTTCCATCCATTCATCTTTTGTGATTTCATCAGGTTTTTCTGCATAACTCATCCTGGACTCTTACTACAAGAAAAGAAAAGCATCTCATTTAATATGATTCAAGAAGTTAGTTTAACCTGTATAAGCACTGCGTTACTACCACTTTTATACCTTTTTTATGAGATCTTTTACATTAATAATCCAAAAGAGACCCTTTTATCTCAAACCACAATTTTGCTTTTTTTTTTCCTCCTTGTTCCTGCACTCTTGAACATCTCCTAGCCGGTCTCTACAGCTGCTTTCATCAATTGTCAGAATAAAAAATTCAAACACCACCTTCTTGTAGTTACTTTTAAATCTACTCCAAATAAATCTTGTTTACAAGTTATAAAGGACACACAAGCAAATCAAACAGTTTGACAACTAGCCAGAAAACTGTAACAAACCCTTAAAGCAAAGCCTGTGTAAACAACAGTTGCTTTAAAGTTTTCACCAAAACTTAGACGGGACAGCTCCATATATTGTATAGCTACAAAACTGTACATGATACGTTAGCCAATGAACAACTAAAAGACACTGGCTTAGCTTCGCTGTCCCCAAAAGTACTCCTGTCAACATGTCAACACTACTAAAATGTTATCTCATAGTATTTTTCTCGACTACTTTTTTTTTTTTTCCAGATTTGGAAGCAAAGCGCTTTGCTAAACCCGGCGTTTAATCATTTCTACCTTCAAGTCACGATCAGAGGGGCAGCGAAAGGGGGAGGAGAGGCGGCGACGACAACAGCAACAGGCACCGCCACCCCTCTCAGACAAACACGAGCGGCAGCGCGCCTTCTCCACACCGGCCCATTTCCCACAGGTTTTTCTTCCTCTAAACCGTCGCCAAAGCCACACCGACCCCAGGGATGTCGGGCGGCGGGAGGCGGGCTCAGCCCGCGGCCGGCTGAGGGGCCGATCGCTCCCCGGTCCCGCGTTCACGTCGCTCCCAACCACGGGAGCTTCCGCCCAAAAACGGGGCTT